TAACATTGTTGACCTGGTAAATATACTGTTATATATTATCTTTTAGTTGCATATGCTTTTATTTATTATAAATATTTATTGAATACATACTATGTTGTATAAATAAGGATATCATGGTGAGTAAGTCAGGTTCTTGTACTTTTGTAACTAGGCAGAAAAGTTTTGTATTTTAGTCATGGAAATTTTGTACCTGATAAAGATATTGAGTATATATAAATATATGTTCAAAATTATCTTGAGTATGATTTCTAGTTTGGCATAGTTGAAAACAAGTTAATGGTGTTCTATTACATCTAAATTTATTCTAAACAGACAATGCTGTGAAAGAAAATTAATAATAGGTGGATATTATTCAAAACATCCCAGAAAAATCTAAAAATTGGGGACAGAGAAGTAATTTAAAGGTTTGATTTTTTTTTTCCTCTCTCTCTCTCTGAAAAGGAGTAAGGTGCTATTGGGTTTGCTGTGAGTTAGAATTGACTTAATGGCAATAGGTAGGATTGGGAAGTAAAGCATTTTGAAGGTCTGTATCCATACTGTTGGGTAGGCAATAGAATACCTTGTTGAAATCCTGGTAACAGGTTAGCACTACTTGGTCAATACGTTTGTAATATAGTTTGAGAGTGGAAAAGTAGCTATTTGTTAAATTAATGAGACCAAAAATGAAAGAAAGAGTAAATTGTGCAAACCAGAAAAAAGGCAAACTGTAAGGTTAGTAGTAAAAAATATTTTTAGAAATCTAATAAAAGCAAGGTGAAAGAATAAAATGAACTTTGTTCTTAAAGTAATCAGGTTAACTATATCTAGAAAAATATAAGGGGCCAATTTAAGCAAATCCTGTATTCTGTATTGCTCTCAAGGATCAGAAATAGAGTAAAGGATGCACAAAGCCACAAGGGCAAACAACAACAAAAAGGCATGAGTGGAACTAATGGCTAGAATTAAGTTACAAGCACAACACTAAAATGTGACAAAGCAACACAGCTTGTGGGTAGTGAAAAATGGTGTGATGGCTAAATGTCTAAAATATTTAAAAGACAATGAGTTCTTGGTTTGAATAAATCTGTGAAAGACAGTGTGAGGTAAAAATGTAACAAAACACTTGGTGCCAATTCACTTTTTACTAGAGAGTGCTTCTACAAGTTCATGAAAAAGAATGAAAAGATAATGAAGCCCTCATACACGCAGGCACACACATATATGTAATTCAGTGACATTGGTTATACAATTGTGGGAGATTTAATGCATCTCTTTCAAAATTAGACTGATTGACTATGATCCTAACTAGATACTCAGAAATAAAAACAAGAACACAAACACAAAACTATACACCAGCATTCACTGTAATAGCCAGAAGATGGAAAGAACTTAATAGCTGTCTATCAACTTACCAGTCGAAATGTGGTCTATACATACAATAGAGCTTTATTGGGCCAGAAAGACAAATGAAGTCCTCATGACTGTTATGACTAGACAAATGTTGGGGAAACATCCTGAGTAAAATAAGTCAAATGTAAAATGACATGTATGATTTTATATACTATAGGTAAACACGAGGCTTGCCTCGTGGTTACCAGGAATTATTATATAGGAGGTGCTAGGTTTGTTATTGGTAGTAGAAAAATTTAGAAACCCCAAAAGCCATTGCCTTGCCATTAAGTCAATTCTGATTCATAGCCACCCTATAGGACAGAATAGACCCTACCCAAAGGCTTTCCAAGGCGGAAAATCTTTATAGACGCAGACTGCTACATCTTTCTTCTAGATTAGCAGCTGAGCTTTTAACAACCAAGACTCCTTAAATTCAGGAGAGGATAGTGATAATGATTGGATAACTAGAAGAATGTAATTAAGGTCACGGAATAATACATATAAAAGTCGTTGATTTAACACAAGTTTTGCTGAATATTTTTACCATAATAAAAAAATGAGACTGTTAATAGATGAGTTTGGAATGATAAGTTTGAACTGTAAAATGAATATATTTGATTTATAGAAATATATTTCTTTTTTTATATAATAGTTTGATTGTCAAATCTTATATAGCCCTATATTTGTATATGCTCATGTATAAGCACATTTTTAATGCAGTTATTGTGTAAAATTAGGTGCTTTGGCAGATATTAGGGTTGGGTTATACTCGCGTATATACGGTATCCATTCACATACATTGCTGCTGTTCAATCCCATTGAGTGGAGTTACGCACTCATTATTGCTATGAGTTCCTCTGTCCCCCCTTCACCCCCCCTCAATAGATTTCGTTTTTAAGCTTAGCAATAGAAAGATTATTTTTAAAAAGAACTATCAATAAACAGAACAAAGAAAAACAAAAAACCAGTTCTTAATATGCTTAGAATAAGGACAGGAAAAACTGCATGATGAGTATAGAACATCTTGTATCAGACAGCAAGCAGGTACTTAAAAAAAAAGAAGATGAAATTGGGTCTAAGGATTGAAAATTCCCAGAGTCCAAAACTGGAAAAATTGTTTATAAGCCACAGGATAAAAGAGGTGTCTATTAAGTCATACTTATTTTTGAAAACCTTATGATTATAAAATATTCATTTTAAATGTACAAAATGTTCATTTACTGAACTATTTTTAAAAATCATTTTATTGAGGGCTCCTACAACTCATCACAATCTATGCATACATCCATGTGTCAAGCACATTTGTACATATGTTACCATCATCGTTTTCAAAGCATTGTCTTTCTACTTGAGGCCTTGGCATCAGCTCCTCTTTTTTTCCCCTCTCTCTCTCTCCCTCCCTTCTCTCCCTCCCTAACGTACTAATATCAAAGACAGAAATAAAAACATAGAGATAAAATTAAAGAGTAAGAAAGAGAAGACTACCAACAATATTTTTTTTAAAAGCAGAGAAGGAATTCCTGTCTCGTGGAACAAACAAATATTTGAGCCTAGAGCAAATTCAAGTTGGGTCAAGACTACGAGGGAAACTGACCAAGTTTATTATACCATGCTTCGGTCCACCATAATCAAATTTACAATAATCTGATAGTGAAGCTCTTCGAGTCCCTCACTTGTGGCTAGAGGGGATCTGCCAGATCCTTAATCTGACTAGATACTCTGCAGATGGATTTTGGGTCCTCACTATCCTCCATAGCCGCCTACAAATTGGATGTTCATAATTTAAGCTCTGATATTTTTCCCTTCATCATATTTGGATTTTGTTATTGTTATCTTTGGATTGTGCAGGCGGGTGTGCTTCTTCAATGTGGACTTAGTTGACTCCTCACTTAGATGGTGGCTTGTTTGAATACAAGCCTTTAAAACTCCACACACTAATAACTGGGCACCATCTGTTTCTTTAACACATTTTTCTGTAGCACCTTTGTCTTCCATCATCACTTCATGAAGGCAAGTATTGAGCAGGGCAATGTTGTAAGAACACATTGTTCTTGGATTAGGACTAGAATTACGCGGTGGGAGCCCAGAATCTACCTTCTGTTCATGGATTATGAACACCTCTGGTTTACTCTTTATGCTGAGAATTTTGCAGTGTGGAAGTGTAGGATAGCCCTCTCCGTAGCCCCTCTGTGCTGGTCTCTGCGGAGTCTCTCCCCCCTACCCCCCAAATGTGTTACTTGGTCATTGTCTTGCTCCTGTTCTCCTCTACTGGATCAATTTCTTGATCCAGAGGATTTGAGTTCCAATTTTGGTACTTACTACATGGTCTACATTAACAGATGGTGCTTGATAACTGTCATCTCCAGCGAGCAATATTATATCTGGCCATAAATAAACAACTGTGGCATTCAAATATGGCAAAGGATTAAAAAGTTGTGATATACTGGCCTAAGCACACTAAGGAATTTATTAATAGAAATTAATAAATTCTATGAGGAAAATTAGAGTATAGAAGTCCTCAAAAAAAAAAAAAAAAGAGAGAGAAGAAACAGGTAGACTAAAAGAAGCATGATAGTAAGAATCCAAAAGTGCCAAGATACAGAATTATGGTTTGATTGAAGTGGGGAACAACAAGCTGCTGTGAAAGGTTTCCCTAAAAGGACTGTACAACTTCTTGGGCATAATTCATGGAAATTGTAAGGCAAATTGTGCCTCTTGGAGTTTAATCCTCATGAGACTTGTCTGGTTTGGTTTTGTTTTATATAGAGTCTAGTAGTTGTTTGTCTTGTGTGAGTTGGAAAAACTATCAGCAAAGAAATCGTGTAGGAGATTCTTATGATGGTTCTAGAAGCAATAGGGTAGTGGTATGTATAATCCTACTATGGAGAAGATAGATAAAAGAAATGATGAAGTATTAGTAATGGGAAATATATTTCTTTTTGTTAGAAATCTTCCAATAGAATAGGCCTAGCATACGCTATTTTTAGCATTACTAGGTTTCTTGCAGTTTCTGTCATTAATACCTGTTTTTACACTTAAGACATTTGATGCATTTACAACTCTGCATCAAAGAAATTTAGAGACTTTATACTCTAAAGCTCTTGAGAGTTTGTATAATATAATACTCTATAAAAACCACAACCCCTACCATCTAGTGGATCTCTGATGCCTAGCAACCCTACAAGCCAGGTTAGAACCGCACCGTGGGGTTTCAGAGTCTGTAATTATCGTCTTCACAGCAGCAGTTAGCCCCTGAAGAACACATGGTATTGCATATAAATATGGTAGTTGCTACTTTCAGAGGTGTTTATTCAGGTTTAGTATATGTGTGTAAGTCATTATTTTACACCACTTTTTAATGGTGAATAAGCCACATCTATTTTTAAAATAAATACAAATATGCCATCAACTTTTCAGCTTGAAAAAGTATTTCTGTTAGAATTAAACTCAGTATAATTACTTTTCTTTTTTCTTTTTTTTTTTTTTTAGGCTGTAAATGTTTTTCTTCTTTTTTTTTTAAATCAATTTATTGGGGCTCATACAATTCATCACAATACATAGATCAATTGTGTAAAGCACATCTATACATTTGTTGCCCTCATTATTGATGAGTATAATTCCTTTTCTAGGAAAGAATACCCACCCCATGTCCAGAAAGTTGACATTGATCCCGTAAGGTTAAGTCGGCCCCACAGTGTTGGTAAGTTTTGCACTTTTACATTTTCACCTGCGAGGGGTTTTGAATTGTTGTATGAAAGCTATATAGATGGATTACATTGTCAGGTATGATGGAAATATGTAGGAAACCTTTTTTAAAAATCTGATTCTTGAATTTCTGTAATTATGATCTGAAATGATCAGATGATTTTATAAACAGTTTAAACGTTTGGATTATATTAAAATTTTCACTACTAAAAATCCAAATATGAACTGTCTGAACTATAGTTTTGAAATACAACTATTAAAATGTTATATTACATTAATTATCTTTGAATTAGATTCTGCTAGATCAGAATTTGTTTTTTCTTGCTAGATTAGAAAGGTACTTTGACATTTCAAAGAAGAGACTGTACAACATTCTTAGGTTGCAAATTCATTTCAGATAGATTAAATGAATTGATCCATTCATAGAGTTTTATTTTAGATGCCAGCCAGCAAGGCTTAATTAGAATTAAGTTCTTTTCTTTATCGCCCCCGCGCACACGCGCCTATCTGCCTTCCTTTATATTTCTCTCTTCTGAAGACTCCCTTTATTCTTTTTTTAAAAAAAAAAGTCATTTTATTGGGGCCTCTTACAACTCATAACAATCCATACATCATTTGTATCAAGCACATTTGTACATATGCTGCCATCATCATTTCCAAAACATTTTCTTTGTACTTGAGGCCTTGGTATCAGCTCCTCTTTTTTTCCCTTCCCTCCCACCCTCGTGAACCCTTGATAATTTGTTATTTTCATATTTTACACTGTCCGCTGGCTCCCTTCACCCACATTTCTGTTGTATGTGCCCTAGAATTAAGTTTTAAAGTTCATTCAATTACATAACATTAAGCAAATAGGTTTCATAACTTTTTATTCTGAAATAATTTTAAACTTTCAGAAGAATTGTAAGAATAGAACAGAAAATTCCCATTTACCTTTTTTCCCCTATTTACTCTTTACTACCTTTTTCTAGTATTGATATCTAAGAGTTATAGTGCATTTATGAAAATTAAGAAATTAATGTTGGTATAATGCTTTTTTCCCCAACAGTTTTCTTGGCACCTAACTTAGACATATACAATTCAAGTTGTAAATCTTGTTCAGTTTCACATTTAAACCCCCCGCCCAAGTTATTTCTATTTTTTTGTACTTTTAATGTGCACTGATCCACTGTTTTGAAGAGCGAGACTCAGTTTTGGTTTCGCTAATGTTTGTATAAAGTTAGATGAAGCTATGCATTTCTTTTAATTGTTTTATTGAGGGCTCTTACAGCTCTTAACATAATCCATCCATTCATCCATTGTGTCAAGCACATTTGTACATATGTTACCGTCATCATTTTCAAAACATTTTCTATTTGAGCCCTTGATATCAGCTCATTTTCCTCCTCCCCCACCTTCCCTCTCTCATGATCCTTTGATAATTTCTAAATCTACCCCCCACTGCATGTCTTACAGTAACCTCTGTCTCCCTCCACCCACTTTTCTGTTGTCCATCCCCCTAGGAAGGGATTATATATAGGTAGATAATTGTGATCGGTTCCCCCTTTCTTCCCCTACCCTCCACAGATGGGCTTTGGGTCTCCACTCCATGTTCCACCTTATTCACGTTGATAAGAGTTTTTTATTCTGGGTCTTTGATGCCTGATACCTGATCCCAGATCCCAGAGGCTATGCAGTTTTGACAAGAGTTCCACAGAAGTGATGCTGTGTTTAATCAGAGGTTACATGATGTTAGAATATTTTATTACTGGTGACGTTGGCCAACATCACTTGGTTAAAATAGCATGTGCTATTTTTTCCCCTTGGAAAAAAATCACAATTTTCCCCTGTAAAATTAGTTTTTAATTAATACGACTTTTGTGAAAGATATTTTGAGACTATGTAAATATCCCTTTTTTTATCCCCTCAAATTTTTGCCACTAATTTTAGCAACAGTCATTTCCTTGTATTTGATGATAATCTTTTGTTCTCATTTGTTTTATAGAATTTAAGTTCTTTCTAGAAGACCCATTCCTTCTTTGTTTTTACATTCATGGAGACAGCTCAGCTACGTTTTTGGAGTAGGGTCTCAAAACTACAGCTATCAAGCCATTGTTCACTTATAGCACCCCTCATGAGGTTCTGAGACTGTAAACTGTTTACAGAAGTAGAAAGTACAGTCTTTCTACTAGTGATTTCAAACTGCCAACCATGCAGATTGCAGCCCGAGTTGCTAATATACCACTAGGGCTCCAGAGCAAGTCTAGACCTGCGGTTCTCAACCTGTGGGTCACAACCCCTTTAGGGAGGGTCAAATAACCTTTTCACAGGTGTCACCTGATTCATAGCAGTAGCAAAATTACAGTTATAAAGTAGCAGTGAAAATAATTTTGTGGTTGGGGGTTACCACCTGAGGAACTGTATTAAAGGATTGCGGCATTAGGCAGGTTGAGAACCACTGTTCTAGACGCATATATATTAAGATAAGCAAGCGTTCAACAACAATGCATAATGTTATTGCAAACGTTGTTGCATGAACTTGGGTTTTATTTTAAGATTTCCTTAGGAGATTGAAAAACACTGAAATTATACAGGATCAGTGGTTAACTATATAGCAGTTGAAATAATTTTTCTCTTAAAATTAATTACTTGACTTTCTGTAGTTCTTAGTGCCCACAATTTTCGTGATTATTATGTTCTCCTTAATTTTGGCTTCACAAGACATTTAATATGAATTTGATAACTTAAGCTATAGTTGAAAACTTTATAGCATTGATAGTGGCTTCTTAGTCTAAATTGAAATTCTGTGAGTCATTAAGTGTTATTTTTTATCAGACCACATGCCCTAGTTTTTTGTTTGTTTGTTTGTTACTTGTTTGGTTTTCTTTCTATATTTTCCTTAAAAGATAAAACAACAATTTTGCAAGGTGGAAAGAGCCCTCCTAGTGTTAATGGTTATGCATTAGGCTGCTAACCACAAGTTCAGTAGTTTGAAACCACCAGCTATTAAAATAGGACTTTGGAACATTGCTGTCCCACTCATAAGTAGCAACAGCCTTTTCAGAAATGACAGCGTATTATTATGTGTTTAGCTTTCACATTCCTGCTTATAATTGAATTTCATGTATCAGACTCCTGAAAGGGCTCATGATGTCTCTTCTGAGTCTATTTCAGGGTTTCAACCATGTTTTCCCTAACCTCTTTATCATGAAGAATCATACAACTTGTAAAAATTCAGATGTGTTCTGTTTCACTTCTTCAGAACCCATTGAAAACTCTGTATGAAAGGGCCAGTGGTGTTTTCCAAGGAGCCCTGGTGATGTAGTGCTTATATATTGGGCTGCAAACCACAAGTTTGTAGTTTGAAACCACCAGCTGCTCCTTAGTAGAAAACCTGGGCTTTCTAATCCTGTAAACAGTGACGGTTTAGGAAACTGAGAGGGGCAGTTCAACCCTATCCTGTAGGGTCCCTTATGAGTTGCATGTACTGGATGGCAGTGAGTTTTAGTGAGACATCATATATATTCAGTGACTATTTAATTTCTTTTACCCATGTGTGACCTTTTATTTATTGTGTCCTTTGCCTAGGAGCCTTGCTGGCCTAGTGTGGTTAACCATTGGGCTACTAGCTTCAAGGTCAACAGTTTGAGACCAACATCTGCTCCTTGGGAAAAAGATAAGGCTTTCGACTCTGTAAAGGGTTACAGTTTTAAAAACCCATAGGGGCAGTCTTACTTTGTTGTACAGGGTCACTGAGTCAGCATTGACTCCATGGTAGTAAGTTTGGTTTGGATTTGGTCCTCCTACTCTGTCATTTATTTGTTAAAGCTGACTATAAGTTAAAGAATAGCAACTGTGTCTTCTCTGAGGTAGATCCTTTGTCATCTTATGCTTTTTTCCAGGTAGTACATTTTAATTTTACGATGGTCAAAAAGATGTGATCTTAAAGTTAGATATACTTCTTTTACTGTTTAGAAAAGCCTTTCCTACCCTTGAATTCTAAAAATATATACCTGCTTTCTAAAAGTACTTCTAAAAATATTTACCTTTTTTCTAAAAGTACTTCTAGGTTTATTTTTATTTAGTTACACTTTTCTGTTTTGTCGATATTATAAGAGCATGTTTTTAACAACATTCTAACATCCTGGCTTTGTCTTCTTTCAAATGTATTTGAGAGAATGCTCAAGAGTTTCTTATATAATATTTAATGAATTGCTTCTGACTCAATTACAGCTATATTTTTTACTCAAACTTTTTAAAATGCCTTTTCTTATTTCACGTATGAAGGGGATTTCAAGTTTGGGAAAATGAAATGAAAAGATATGGAATAATTTCCATGAACTTCATGTATATCCCTTATATTTTTAAAAAGTTAACACATTTTATTACTTAAGTTTGGTTTATGCCCTTATTCTCTGGTAATATTTGTTCTCAGGAAACTCAGTGGTGCCTAGCAAGACTACAGACTTGTAAACACATTTCTATGTAATTTGAAAGTAGTGTCATACACAGAAGTGTAAAACATGTTACCATAAATGAGTAGTCGCTGAGACGCTTCTAAATGGTTGAATTGAGTCCTCATAAAAGAAGTGAGTAAAGCTGAGTTTTGACTTATTTTGTGAGACTAATGAGAATGGAATGCAATTTGAGTAAATAAACTGTTTAAGTTGGAGGATTGAGGGGAAGAGAGGCAAAGATGAAATTGCAGAGGTAGGTTGTGACCAGATTATAAAATGCTAAAGAGCTTTTGCTAAATTCTCTATGCTAAACAAAAGTATCGTATAGAACTTTTTTATAGCATAAAAAGTGATTTTTAAGGAGAATGAATTCATTCTCAACTTATTTATGTTAAAATAACTTATTTATGTTGAAAAACAACCATAGACGCGGCTACATGATAGAGAAAGGGAATCATTTTCTAGTTTGACTTTTACTTTTTTAAAAACTCCAAAAGTAATTCAAAAGCAAACGTAGCTAAACTAAAGGTATGTAACAGTGTTTTAATTTTTTCCACTTTTGGAAAAATTTTGAAGCTCCAAATAAAATTAAAGACTGTCCTTGTTTCTTTACCCCAAATGTCCATTATAAAAATTTCCTAACATGGAGAGAAAATTTCCTCTATGTTAAACACACACACGTATACACCAAATTGATTTTTTTTTAATAAATAATTTTATTGGGGGCCCTTACGGCATACATCCACTGTATCAAACACATTTGTACATATGTTGCCATCATCCCTTTCAAAATATTTTCTTTCTACTTGAGCCCTTGGTATCAGCTCCTCTTTTTTTATTGTACAATTGCCACTTTATCATACATTTATTTATATATTCATCTTTTTATATACTACATGAATTCATCTAATTTTTGAAACACTTTATAGTACTTTGTAGACAATCCGTGAGGAACCTTGGTGGTACCATCAGGTAATCTTTGGACCACTAACCACAAGATCAGTGATTCAAACCCAGCAGCTGAACCACTAGAAAAAGATGAAGCTGTTTATTCTTATGAGGATTTTTAGCCTTGAAAATACTATTTAAGGCCCTGGCTATGGAAATAAACAACAATGCATTTTACTTGTAAATACCTTAGTGGGAATATCATCTAGATTTCAATATTTTTCCTGGTTTTATTTTTTTCGTTTGTAATAAATACATGTGGTGAAGTGCGCCGATCTTACGTGTATAGTTCAGTAAATTATTTTTAGTTCAGTACATTTTGAAAAATGCATATAGCTTTATAATCCAATCTCCTATGGTGACATAGTACAAATAGTATCAACTCAGATAAGCTCTCTCATGTCCATTACTAGACACTACCCTTCTGCCTTCAAAGGTAATCATTGTTTTGATTTTTCCCAGCATACAATAACATTTGACTGTTCTAGAACTTTGCATGAAGCTAAGCTACATGAGGATCATAGTGTCAGAGTTAATGAAGACACGTTAACAACCCGATGTTATGGAAAATGGTGACAATTTGAAGTATTTTGCTGCTCAGGGTCAGGTTACAGATATCGGTGGGTTACACCTGGATGTGATAAAATGGGAAATTCATCACAGTTGGACTGATAAACAGCATCTTGATTAATAGAGAAAAATTTGAAGTTGTTCAGTATTTCATTCTTGGTGGATGGGAGCAGCAGTCAAGAAATTAACCAACAAATTGCCTTGGAAAAATCTTTCTCAAACGACGACCTCTTTAAGGTTTTCAGAAACAGTCATGTCACTGATGCCTATGGTATGACTGACCCAGACAAGGCTCTTTTCTTCTCAGAAACCTTTTATAAAGTGTCACTATGAGTTAGAATTGACTTGGTGGCAGTGGGATTGGTTTTTTTGGAGTTTAAGGAAAGAAACTTAATCTTTCTTTCTGTTAATGATGGTAGGATCACTTGTGTTGCATAACATGATGAACATAACCAATGTCACTGAATTATACATGTAAAAATGTTAAACTTGCAGATATTTTGTATGCATATTTTTTCACATGTTTGATAATATAAAATAGTATTTTTCATAACTAAGATCATAAAGATTTTCTAGTTTATTTTAGTCCTTTTTTTCTTCCTTTAGAACATATAATGAAGAAATCAGATGAATCTGAATCACAATCAGAACCCGAAATTAAGAGAAAAGTACAACAGAAACGTCATTGCAGTACTTACCAGTCTTTGCCTACTCTGCCTCCTGCTTCAAAAAAATGCTTAACGCATTTAGAGGTAGGTAGAGAAGTTACTTTCTGGTGCCAACTAAAGTATTTTCAGTGTTTATTACATTCTGGATAACCTGTGTCATAGGAGTTATTTAGGCAACATTTCTGCTCCCAAATTTATTTTTAAAAATCCATCCAAGTATACACTTTCTTAAAAGAATTTATTCTTCCTTAAATGCATTCCAATTCATTGTTTTTTAAATTTTTTCAGCTTTTAAAAGTGTTTAAAAAGTAGTAGTGTAAACTGCCTTCACATCCTTTTCCCTGTCTCCCCAGTTTTCTGTTTTCCTTATCATTCATTAGCTTCCTTTTTTACCTCTCTCCTTTTCCATCCTTCTACCACGGTGAGTGTGTGTTGATGCTGTGTGTGTGTGTGTGTGTGTTTGCATCATGTTAAGGTAATGTCCATTTGTCAATTTAGGGTGTGCTCCCTAAAGAAAGGAGAGAGAACCATTGTCCTATGTAACTAATTGTTAGAGTATAACTCTAAAAATTAGGGGGCAATATATTGATCCCAAATTGCCATCTAACCTAAACTTTCCATTCTAATTGTACTTAAATAATGTCCTTTATGCGTATAAGATCCAATCTAGGATCATGTGTTACCTTTAATTATTATGCTACTTTCTTTAGTCTTAAGGCTTCTGTTGTCTTTTATGACCTTATTTCTTGAGATGACCATGCAGTTTATAGATACCGTATACATTTGTGTATGAGCCAAGTTTTTTTTTAATTGTTTTATTAGGGGCTCATACAACTCTTATCACAATCCATACATCCATCAACTGTGTAAAGCACATTTGTACATTCATTGCCCTCATCATTCTCAAAACATTTTCTCTCCACTTAAGCCCCCAGCATTATAGGTCCTCATTTTTCCCCTCCCTCCCCGCTCCCCCTTCCCTCATGAACCCTTGCTAACTTATAAATTATTATTTTGTCATATCTTGCCCTGTCAATCCACTCTGGCTGTACTTCCTCCACAGATTTGTTTTTCCATGGTACTTTAAGAATCCCTAGACAGCATCATAATTCAAATACATCAATTCTTCTGTTTGTCATCTTTTTCTAGCCTTCACATCGATATGAGGCAATACAAAATGCCTTGAGTTCGATCAGGCTCCCCTTAATCTTCAAAGTAGTATATTTGCTTTTTAATATTAAAAGAGGTCTTTTGCAGCAGATCTGCCAAATTTTATCATCACTGCCATTGAGTTGATACCGACTCATATAGACCGTATAGGATAGGGTAGAAATGCTCTTGTGGGTTTCCAAAACTGGAACTCATTACAGGTGTTGAAAATTCTCTTTCTCTCAGAGAACCTGGTGGTCTGAACTTCTGACCTTGTAAGTCATCAGCCAAAAATGTAACCACTAGGTCACCAGAGCTCCACTGCCAGGAGCATGCACCTGCTAACAAGAGCATTGAGTGTAGATCCAAATAAAATTAAATTCTTGACAACTTCAATCTTTTCTCCATTTATCATGTTGTTCTAGTTGTGAGGATTTTTGTTTTCTTTACATGAGTTGCAATCCACACCGCAGGCTGCTATCTGATTTTCAACAGTAACTACTTAAAGACTTGTTTGTTTTCAATATAAGCACAAGCCAAGTAGTGCCATTTGCATTAATCAGAAAACCCAAACAATTCATTGCCATTAAGTTGTTTCCAACTCGTAGTGTCCTTGTAGGACAGTGCAGAACTGCCTTTGTGGGTTTCTGAGACTTGGTCTTCCCTGACAGAAAGTCGAGCAGGTTGTTTCAAACTTTTGATCTTACAGCTACTGAGCCTTCTGCCAATCATGCTGCAGTATTATTCTTCATGTAGCCCAACTTCTCATATTATTTGCTCAGCATGCAGATTCCACAAGTATGATGAAAGCATACAACCCTGGTGCACACCTTTCCTGATGTGAAAGCATTCAGTAACCCCTTGCTGTATTTGAACAGCTGCCTCTTGGTCTATATACAGGTTCCTCATGAGCACAATAAGTGTTTTGGAACTCTTAGTGTTTGCAGTGTTATGCATAGCTTGTTATATTGCACCCAGTCATATGCCTGTTTATAATCACTAAAACACAAGTAAACATCTTTCTGGTATTCTCTACTTTCAGCCAAGATCCATCTGATGTCAACAATGATATCCCTCATTCTGCGTCCTCTTAAGAATCCGGCTTGAATTTCCGGCAGCTCCCTGTCGATGTACTGCTGCAACCATTGTTGAATTATCTTCACAAAATTTTATTTGCATGTGATATTAATGATATTGTTTGATAACTTCTGAATTCCATTTGGTTATCTTTCTTTGGAATGGGCACAAATATGAATCTCTTCCAGTTGGTTGACCAGGTAGCTGTCTTCCAAATTTCTTGGCGTAGACTAAATGGGTCTTTCCAGCACTCCATCAATTTGTGGAAACATTTCAGTTGGTACTCCATCAGTTTGGGGGCCTTGTTTTTGCTAATGGTGTCAGTGCTATTTGGCTATTTTCCTTCAGTTTCATCAGTTCTTGATCATATACTATCCCTTGAAATGGCTGAATATTGACTAGTTGTTTTTATTTTTCAAGTACAATGACTGTATTATTTCCATTTTCTTTTGATGCTTCCCACATTGTGCATGCTGTTGTTTGTTAATATGGGCTGTTGAATTGCTTCCAACTCATAGTAAACCTAAGAACAACAGAACAAAGCAGTACCCTGTCCTGCACCAGCCTCAATGGTTCCTAAGATTGAGACCATTGATGCACAACAGTGTCATTTCACCTTACTCTAAGGGTCTTGTTTTCTTTCACTGGCTTTCTGTTTAAACAGGATGTCCTCTACCCAGGGACTGGTCTCTCCTGAAAATATATCCCAAATATGTGAGATCCATCCTCTTGCCATCCTTGTTTCTCAGGAGTATTGTGGCTGTACTTCTTTCAATTGATCAAATTTGTTTAAACACATTGGCTAAAGAATTCTTGAGTTTTGCAACTTGAAGTTTGAATTTTTTCTTCAATTCTTTAAACTTGAGATGGGCTGAGCATGCTCTGTGTTTGTGGTTTTCATATTCCAGGTCTTCAAACATTTTATTAGAATGTTTTACTTTGTCTTCTTATATTGCATTTTGAGATTTTTCAGTTTACCTCTTACTTTCCTGTCCTCATATAGCGGGTTTCAGAGTCTCTTCTGACATCTTAAAGACCTTTTGCTTTCTTCATGTTAAAGTATTTATGTCACCTCAATAACTTCTGGGCTTGGGTCATTACTATTTATTTAGTGTATTCTTGAGATTGTCTGTAAATTCACAGGGTTGTACTCAAAGTCTCTTTTGGGTCTCATGGACTTTTAATTTTGTTTAACTTACTTTGCTTATGAACAATTGATGGTTTGTTCCACAGTTGACCCCTAGCTTTGTTTCGGCTGATAATGTTGAGTTTTTCCATTGTCTCTTCCCACAGATAGAGTCAGTTTGATTTTTGTGTGTATTCTGTTTATGTTGTGAAAAGGATTTGCAATGAAGATTTCTATCATATGATCTCCTACTTAATTTCTGTCTTAACTATTATTCCCTCTTCTTCTTATGTTCATCCTAATCATCATAATTAACCATGTATTCTGATGCCATGTTTGATTAGATTCAAAATGAAGATATTAGGAGAAGTCTTCAAATTCTTCATCACTGACTTTGGTAGTTGGTACATACATTTGAGTGTTTGTGTGTGTGTGTGTGTGTGTGTGTTTAAGTCATTTTATTGGGAGCTCATACAACTCTCACCACAATCCATACATATATCCATTATGACAAGCTCATTTGTAAATTTGTTGCCATCATCATTTTCAAAACATTTTCTTTCTACTTGAGCCCTTGGTATCAGCCCCCCCATTTTCCCTCTCCCCCACTCTCCCTCCCTCCCTCACAAACCCTTGATAATTTATAAATTATTATTTTTTCGAATAGTGGGTATATCAACTGGTCTTCCTTGTAGTCACAGAGCTATCCTATCACAAGCCGCATTGTACTTGAAGATCTTGATATGGTCTTCATAGTAGAGGATGCACTTAAGCATTTCAGTACTTATTTAATAGAGAAAAATGTGTGTGACTATTGAATTTTCATAGCACTTCAACTTAAATAGGTCACATTTTTCTTTGTTATCCACTGTAAAATATGGAGCCAGTCAGTACCAATTTGGTGATATAAAAAAATTAATATCAGAGCCTGCTTATATTTACCTTATTTCAACTATGGGAATGGGATCCTGACTCACAGAAAAAAAAAAATTTCTTTTTGAGACTTGCAAAAGAGGCCTTTATTTATCTAGTTCAAATAGACACTATCACACCGTAGTTACTCCTTTTACTAAAATAGTTCAAATCAATATTTGTACCACATTATCTAAAGAGCCCTTTCTCTCCCAATCAACATGGTCAGTAGAAGGTGGACGCGGGCAGCGGGAGCTGGTGACCAGGTGGCCAGGCTCGGACTGCTTCCAAAGAGTGGCCCAAACCCCCAAGATAAAAAACTAGACAGCCCTGTGGCATGTCTCTTACAAAATACAAAACCAGTAGTATTTGTTACCTTTCAAGGAACAGGGACAGGAAAGGTCACTTTTTCTCTGAACACTGGTGTGTTGCTAAACCTGGGATCCGACTGCTCGGCAGGTTCCCATGGGGTGGGGGGCATGGTTACAGGAGGGGGATATCACAGTGTGGTCACATCGGAGGGCAGCTTGAGGATGTGAGACCTGAGCATGTGAAGGGACAGGCCCTTATGATGGAACACCAAGGTCAGTAACAGCCCACCCACTGCTACAAGACACTGGCCCTCCTCAGCCACCTCCTACCACCAGCACCAGCACCACCACCACCCATGCCCCAGCAGTGGGCCCCATGTACCTGGGTTAGGCAGACTCACTTCTGGCTCTGGAGCAGCTTTGTAAGACAGATGGACTCGTCAGTCTGTCCTAGAAGGCCCACAGGTACACTAGCTTGGGTGGCAGCAGCAGGGGACAGGGACAGGCCTGTCCCCTCCTCCCTCACGATAGTGCAAGAAGCAGGAGGGTCTCTGAAACACTCCTAGCCTCTTGGTGATGTTCTTTGGGTGGGGTGGATGTAAGGTGGGGCTGGGGCCCTTGGGTATTGGCCAGTACCACACACCCTAACACATTGCTTAGTGTCGGTGGCAGCCGCGCCAAACAGGACCCAGGTAGACTCCCTACCTGCCAAGTCCCCACCCCTCAGGGGCCACCTGGTTCTTCCTACTTCCCCTAGTAGCCTGTGTGGGCAAGAACATTCCACAATATGACCAGTTTCCTGGTGCCCACAGGGCCCTGGGTGCCCTTGTAGGGACCCACTTAGCACCTGCCTGGACAATGAGTCTCACAGACAATTTTAAAACCTATTTGAGTACTCTATGGGATTTAAATTTTTTTTCAGCTAAAGCTAGAAACAACAGGGTGACTTCAAAAAGTTTCTGAGAAAATTCTATTATCTTTTAATTATAATTTTTCATTAACTTTGAGGCAGCCTCATAATGATTTGTTTATCGTGAAAATTCAGCTTACCAATAGGCCTGTATTTTTCTTAAAAGGATTGACTGTTATCACAGAGTAATAGTTTGGTGGGACTAATTTTGTACTAAGGGGACGTGGTCACCCATTTGCGTTGTTTATGCTTCATTTAAGTGTATGGGGAGTTTGATAATCTCCATATTTGTGCCTATCTAAAAGTATTACATATACATTGTATGTGCACAGGGTCTTATTGAAGATGTTACCAGAGAAACATTTTTCTTATATTTAGACTCAACAAGGTAACAAAGCTGAATTCTTCAATCAACAGGTAGAAAGAGTGATACTCTCTTTTTTAATCATCCACATTGTAAATAATTTATAATTTTCTAGAGCAGATAAGATTGGAAGAGTTTACTTCAACTTTTTTTCCTTGCATAGTTTACGTATGTATATGAAAAGGTGGCATAGAACTTGTGTTTGGTTTAATGAATTTAAAAGTTTGCATGCACCTTTGTAATCACATGTAACTTTTACCCATCAGTCCCACTACATCTCCTTGATGACTTCAGTCAACATATATCTAAAAGCATTTTAAACAACTGTGTATTCCCTTATATTTCCAAAGTTGATTTTGAACCTTTTAAATACTAAATTTAAATAAATATTCTCACAGCATTTAATATGGGTTAAATAAATATTCTCACAGCACTTAATATAGGTTAACTGAAAGCCAGGTTATTTTGAAATATTGCTCTTAATCCTTACATGTGGATCTAGTGCTATCCAAATAACCATAGTTGATGGTGGTTAGCATATCTTTATTGTGAGACTTGTTTGGAGGTTCTAGCAAGGGAGCACAGCTACTTGTATACTCTTAACTGAAGGATGGTCCTACTTCTATCAGGGAAGGTCGTCCTCTTCAGCCGAGCACGCAGCTCTGGGAGTGACACACATGGAGCGGTGAGGGAGGAAGAGGACTCCTGCCTAGTCAGCCAAATCAACTGAAACAACCCTAGCGATCAATGGGGTGACAGATGTTGCAGCCAGATCGCCCTCACATCCAGTTAGCATGTCTTTATTGTATCATATTTTATCACTACAATTATTTCCCACAGTGTAAGGTTGCAAATATATTTTCCTTCTAGGTTGAGTCATTTTAATTATTGGGATTTTTTTTTTTTTAGGTGCTTGCTATTCAATTTTAGGTTTGGTGACAGGAGAATTTTCTAGGAGTCCTGGTATCATGGGTTATACATCAGTCCATTTACCACTAGGTCAACAGTTTGCACCCATTAGCCACTCTACGGGAGAAAAATCACTCCATCTTTCTCCTGTGGAGTGGTTGCTGTGCTCCAGCCGCTGGCCTTTTGGTTGGCAGCCACTTACCCAACAACAGCATTATCCGGACCCTGTAAAACCAGTTAAAATAATAAACATGCATTAGGAGTATATTATTGATATAAACTATACATTGTTGGTAATTTTTAGGTGGTATAAACAGGTAACATGATGCACTTCTAACTGGAACTGGAAATGTGAGTTCATTCAGGCTCTTAGAAGAAAGTCCTGGTGTTCTTCTGAAAATCATGGAGCACATTTCTGCTCTGACGTACAGGGAGGTTGCCATGAGTTAGTCAAAACAATGTCATCTTTACTTATATGTTGTTATAAATAACTGTTTGAAATAAAATGATCCAAATACATAATTTAGCTACAGGCAGTGACTGATTTTTATTTTGTAATTGCTTCCTGAAGGAGCTCTGGTGTCGGCTGCTTCAACACAAGGTCAGCAGCTTGAAATTACCAGCCACTCTAATAAAGGCTTTCTACACCCTTAAAAATTTGCAATCTCGGAAACCAATGGCAGCGAGTTTTTGTTTATGAATTACTTCCCACGTCCTTGAATAAATATACATTGACACAGAATTAAGCATCTGTTAATACTTTCATAAATGTTAAGGACCTTGGTTCTCATAAATAAGTTCACGAAAAATGGAAAGGTTCTGTTTTAGTGAGATAACTCAATACTTTGAAATTAAACATCAAAAATTACCCCCACAAAACTTTTTTTTAATGAACTCTCAATTGTAACCTATATTCAGCCTTTTAAATGTTTTTTAAAGTTATGACTTAGAAATCAACTGCCTTAAAAATTTAATTAACTAGCCCTCAGAATCCATTTCTTTTTCTAAAATTTAGAATCACCCTTTTGTTTGGTTTGGAAGTTTTGGAACTCCACTATAGTAGACCTCTGTACAATTTGAAATGTAATACAGATTTAATGTTCTTTCTTATGTAGGAAAAGGTCAAGTATGACCAGTGATGAATTAACAGCAGAAGCACACTCAGAAATTAGCTTTGTTGAAAGATGATAGAAAGTGATCATCTAAAGCAGTGATTCTCAACCTATGGGTTGTGACCCCTTTGGGGGTTGAACGACCCTTTCACAGGGCTTGCCTGATTCATAACAGCAGCAAAATTACAATTATGAAGTAGCAAGAAAAATAATTTTATGGTTGGGGGCGTTCACCACAATATGAGGAGCTATATTAAAGGGTCCCGGCATTAGGAAGGTTGAGAACCACCGATCTCGATACTGATTCCCATAAGATGACTAATGCCCAATACAGCCTTGAAGTCTTGTATTAATAATCCACACAGTTCACTTTGAAGAATGTTAGACTTTAAACATTAGTTTTGAAATCCTTTCTTGAACTTACATAGCAAATTTGAAATGACATAAATAATCAGATCTAGGGTGAACTTAATATTGAGGCTTGTCTTTGTTTCCCTGATGTTAAAATAAAATACCAAAGCCTTTCTTTCTTTTGTTCTTTTGGAACTCAGGTCTCTGAGCAACGTGAATATTGTCCAAAATGTGGAAAAGAAAAGGAGAATCAGACCAAATGCCAAAGTTGTGGTATTGTTTTTTCCAAGGATTTACAAAGAAACTGCAGACAAGCCATGACTTTGAATGAATCCCCTGGACCATTATTAAGGACGTCAATTCATCAGAATTCTGGAGGACAGAAGTCACAGAATACAGGATTAATCAAGAAGTTTTATGGCAACAGCATAGGAAAGGTTCCAATTGATATTATTGTGAATTGTGATGATAGTAGACAGAATTATTTGCAGACTAATGGGAAAGTCATTTTACCTGGGGCAAAAATAACCAAAATTGCAAACATGAAAGAAAGGAAAGCAAGCCTTTCACATCTAAATGATCCAAGTAAGTATTTTCCTCCCTGTAGCAATTTGGATATCAATTCAGTATCTATCGATGTTAAAGTAGGAGCATAAACCTATTTGAGAATTACAGTTTTCATATTTTCTTGTGAAAATTATGTAACATTTTCCGGTCGACATTAAAGCCTGGACATGTCTTTGGGCTGCTATGAATCGAAATTGGCTTTGTGGCAGAGAGATTTGAGGTTTTGGTATTTTGTTGTCAACTAAGTACTGACTCTTTATTCTTAAATTGTATAAAAGCACAGACTCTGGCCATAAATGTGAATGACAGGTATGTCATTTTTTAAATTTGGCCAAGTTTTTTTTTGCCATCTCTTATCTCAAATATTTCCCACTTTAGAGTTTTTTTTTAAAAACAATTTTATTGGCACTTAATTCACAGTATTCTTGAGGGAAATAACAAAACTAATATGTAAAGTAGTGTAGGTCAACAAGTATTTGACACATAGAATTCATAGAACATTCATGTATCACTTTGGTTTTTCAAGTCTTATTCCTATCAGATGCACCTGTGTGTAAAGAATTCAGCTCCATAATCATAAATAGTAAAAGGTAATGTAATAAGGTTGTAATGTAGTGTAATAAATAGTGGAAGATTGGTAGCATTCCAGGATCTGTTGAAAAGCCTCTGAAAACATAGATGCTTATAAAAGGGGAGATAGTCTGAGATAAGACTATGCAAAAATTTCTAGCATCTTTCATTATAAGTGCATACTGTGAACTACAATTCAAAGTATGTAGTATTGCTGTTCCCTGTCTGTAGACTAGAAAATGAATATAGTTTAATGAAGTTATATCAAAAGCTAATTAAATGAAGAAATTGCCCCAAGGGGGTGGGGTGAACTATGTTGCTGACACCAGACTTTACTGAGAATACCTTCTTTTTTATAGATTTGACTTTGGAAATATGACTAATTATTATAAGACCAAATTAAAAGGTTCTTATCTTCTGCATATTTCTTTAAAAAAAATAATCTTTATTGGGAGCTCTTTTAGATAGTCCATAATTCAATTAGATCAAGCATAATTGTACAGTTGCTGCCTCGATCAGTTTCAGAACATTCTTGCCATATTTAAAAGATTCTTGAAAATAAAAGAACAAAACAAATGAACATAATTATATACTTAGTTGATGGCTTCAACATACAGAATTATTTCAGTTGAGTTTAATATAACATCGTAGCTTAAAATATACCTAGTACAATATATTTTAAGGGCAAACAACTGCCGAGCAATGAGAGTAACACATAATAGTAATGATGGCATTGTTATTCTTAAACACAGTACAACTGAATACAGCAAGTAATTACTACCATTAAAACAAAATTCTTCCAATGTCACAGTACAGTAAAGACCTAAAAATCCTATAACTTTACATTTGAATTGGAGATAATAGTGTGAATTGATTAAATAGGAAGGTGCTTTAAAAAGTTCATGAAAAATTGAATTAAAAGACTATAGAATTTTCCCATAAAAACTTTGAAGTAAAAAACAAACAAACTTTTAAGTGTCTTTATGTTATGATAAATATAAAATACATGTACCCTAGCTGTAAACACTGAAAATACTTAGGAACTGTAAACCACACAAAGAAATCAACAATCTTAGCTCCCATGTTGTATTTTTGATTACCATTTTCCCATAAACATTACAAGAGTTGCTTAGAGAAAGACTCTAGGTCTGGAAGATGAAATACAGGTGTTAAACCTCAAGCATCTAGTCATATCTGGAAAATTGGAGACAAAGCCTGCTATGGACATGTCAAAAGGACACGTGCTGAAAATGAAATATGTTTAAAATAGGATGGTACCAATTCATAAAAATATAACTGCTATGGAGTAAACTAATATGCTCATCAGTTCCTAACAATATATCTACTTTCAAAAGGAAAGAAAATGAAAATTCTTTATGTGTTACTTTTGGAGGGTTATTTTGGGTTTCAAAACATGGCTTCCAGCATTTTATTTCCCCCTCTTCCCCATTTTCTGTCTGATAAACAATTTGTACTATATTGACTATTTTGAATTGGACATTTATGACTTACTATGCCAGAAACAACAAACTGAAAAAGAATAGTGTTGCATTTACTATAAAAAGATAATTCATTTTAAAAAAAAGATAATTCATTTCAAGATCTGCCTTGATGTTCAATGCTGTCTCGAATACTATAATAACCATATACCTCTAAGGAAGAATTGTTTCATGTGTTACACATGCAAGTGTTACTTAAAAGTTTTGCACCAACCAACTAAAACCAATGATGAAGAAATTGAAGAACCTTGATAATTACCGGTGATTGGATTGTGAAGGTTGGAAACAAAGGATAAACAGTTGGAAGATAAAGCTTTGTTATAGAAATGCCTCCCCCCAGCCCCCATAGGGAGGGAAGAAGGGGGGATCTTTTTTTTTTACGTTGACTTTTGTTTTCTACTTTGTTTCCCCTTTCTCCTACATTTGGGACTCCTGGGGTTTCGACAGTCATCTCCCCATTTGGTCCCCTTGGACTGTCTTTCTCCTTGTCTGTTGATTCTAACTTGTAAATAAAGAAAATATTATTCAAAAAAAAAAAAAAGGAAGCAGAGATTTCATGGTAGAGTTTTGCAAGAACATTGACTTCATTGCAAATAACATTTTCCACAAAAATGGAAACTACATATGTATCTTACCAGAAAGAATACACAGGAGTTGAATAGAGTGCATTTGTGCCAAAGGACAATGGAGCGACTTGGTATCATCAGCCTAAACAAAGCCCAGGACCAACTTTGGAAAAGTCATATGTTGAAGAAAATAAAAACAAGTCTGTGAGAATAAAAATTTGGACTCGAGCTGAATTTGGTGAACTAATTTGACACATTATAAACTGATGAGCAAAGGTTAGGTGGGTTATGGGGTGACATCACAAACATCATACACAAAGAAATTCAAATGGTTATTAAAAATACAGGAAAGAGAAAAGTGCAAAATGCTTCCAGAATAAATTAATTAAAAACTAAAAAATGTCTAATGGTATTTTAAGAAAGTGAAGTACCGTAACGAAATGTGCAAAGGTCTGGTAGAAAACCAAAAGAGAGACACATACACGTCATTTCTCAAGCTGAAACTGCAGAAGAAAATATTCAAGCCTCTTGCAATATTGAACAATTTTAGCAACAAAATATTGAATAAGTAGAACCAAAAAGAAGATGGAATATATAGGGCCACCCCATAAGGAATTGATCAACATTCAGCGATTTCAAGTGGTAGCTTATGATCAAGAATTGATAGCCCCAAAACACCAAGATTTGAAGCAATCCCAATGGAAATGCTTCAACAAATTGATGCAGCATTGAAAAACAATATGAAGGGCCACACCTGATCCCAACTACGTGGACCCCCTCCTCCCCCCAGAAGAGTCCATTTCAGAGGACAGCGCTGAAGCTCTATCTTAGGAAGAGGGTTGTGTCTGATCGAAGCACACAGGAGCAATTGAAGGGGGAGGGAGAGAGTATGGAGTACATTCTGGCCCACCAAGCCCTGAAGACAATATTCCTGCTCAGAGCAAGCAATGCACAGAGAGGACCACAGGACTAGCCCCCCCACCCCCACCCCATGAGATACAACATCCCTCACTGACCCCTAGTGCTACAGAGGACAACACTGGAGACACAGTGCAGGAATTGTGCCCGATCTGACCCAACCGCACCTAGGCAAAACACTAAGGGGGTGCAACAGAACAAGGGGAGCAGAGAGATGAAGTCCTCAGAGAATAGATTTGGGGGCCAGGATGTGGCACCCTATCAGACTCGACCTGAAAACACTCCTAAAGGTCAAGAAACAGACCTTGAACTAATTACAGGCGCTTTGGGGGTGGTTGTTTTGTTTTGCTTTGTCTTGTTTTTTTGTGCATATTATCTCTGCAGGTCTATTTAGATAAGGTAGTCAGGATAAACAATCTGGAAAGCAACAGGACCGATGGTTCCGGGTGGAGGGACATGGGAAAGGGAGAGGCAGGGGAAAGGAAGTCAGTGTTAACAAACCCAAGGCCAAGGGAACAAGTGATCCAAAATTGGTGGTGGGGAGGGTATAAGAGGCCTGGTAGGGCTTGATCAAGGGCAGTGTAACTGAGGAATTACTGAAACCCAATGAAGGCTGAACATGACAGTGGGACAAGAGGAAAGTAATAGGAAATAGAGGAAAGAACTAGGAGGCACAGGGCATTTATAGATGTGTAAACAGCATTACATATGTAAATATATTTATGATGATGGGTAAATAGATCTATGTACATATATTTATAGGTTTAGTATTAAGGTAGCAGATGGACATTGGGCCTTTACTCATGTACTCCCTCAATGCAAGGACACTTTGGTCTATTAACCTGACATTCCATGATGTTCACATTTCCGACACAATCACTGAAAAGAAAGTGGGCACATAAGCAAATGTGAAGAAAGCAAATGGTGCCCAGCTATCAAAAGATAAAGCGTCTGGGGTCTTAAAGATAAACAAGCAGCCATCTAGCTGAGAAGCAATAAAGCCTACATGGAAGAAGCTCACCATCCTGTGTGATCATGGGGTGTCGATGGGATCAGGTATCAGGCACCCAAGACCCAGACCAAAAAAAAAATCATACTGTGAATGAGGGGGAGTGCGGAATGGAGATCCAAAGCCCATCTGTAGGCAAGTGAACATCCCCTTAATCTGTAGGCAAGTGGACATCCCCTTACAGAAGGGTCACAAGGGAGAGATGTGCCAGTAGGGTGCAGTATAGCATCGATGAAACATACAACTTTCCTCTAGTTCTCTAATGCTTCCTCCCTCCCCCACTCACTATCATGACCCCAATTCTACCTGACAAATCCAGCTAGACCAGAGCTTGTACACACGGGTACAGATAAGAGCTGGAAACAGGGAATCCAGGACAGATAAACCCCTCAGGATCAATATTGAGAGTAGTGATAGGAGGGGAAGGGGAAGGCGTGGGGAGAAAAGGGGAACCAATCACAATGATCTACTTATAAACCCTTCCCAGGGGGATGGACAACAGAAAAGTGGGTGAAGGGACACATTGGTCAGTGTAAGAAATGAAAAAATAATAATTTATAAGTTATCAAGGGTCCCTGAGGGAAAGAGAATGGGGGGAAATGAGATGATACCAAGGGCTCAAGTAGAAAGAAAATGTTTTGAAAATTATGGCAACAAATATGCTTGACAAAATGTATGCATATATGGATTGTGATAAGAGTTGTATGAGGCCCAATAAAATGAGTAAAAAAAAGAAAACACTCAATAGCCTATGCCAAGAAATCTGGAAGATAACTTACCTGGCTAATGAACTGGGAGAGATACATATTTGTGCTCATTTCCAAAGAAAAACCACCCAACGGGATGTAGATGTTAGCGAATAATATCATTAATATTACATGCCAATACATTTTTACTGAACATAATTAAAAAATAAAAGTTCTTGAGCTCTTCGGCACTAATCTATCTTCTCCTTGAGACCAATTTTTTATTTTAGTGACCACTACTTGTGGGATAAAATCATTTGTTCATAATAGAGTTTCATACATTCATTAAAATTCATGGTTATATTGTGAATAATTTTTATGTAAGTTTTTTTATACCTAGACTGAAACTCGGAAATACTAGTAGACCTGATAAACATTCATGGTTCTTGTGTATGTTGCCATGTGGATTAATATTGAGGAAGTAAAGAATCAGTTTCATATGTATAGTTTTCCAAGTTCAATTTTTCATCAGATTGAGTATATTCTTTATCTCTATTATTACATAAGTCTGGATGACACCAAAACAAAGTTGGTATTTTTCCCTTGTTTGTAGCTTACACTTTTAACTTGACGGAAAAGGAATATTTCCTGATACATTTTACATTTTTTGTAGTCATTTTGTCCAGTGATGATGATGACGACAGTGACAGAACTAATAGAAGAGGGAGCATATCTCCTCAACCGGCTGATTCAGCATGTTCTTCCCCAGCGCCATCCACTGGAAAAGTAGAAGCAGCACTTAATGAAAATACATGTAGAGTAGAGCGTGAACTAAGAAGCATTCCAGCAGAGTCAGAGTTAAATACCGTTACATTACCAAGAAAAGCAAGAATGAAAGACCAGGTACCTTTCACATGTTTATTCAGTTATGTCCCCCCTTGGTATGTGTTTGTGGGGGTCACTTGAATGGATTATTAAGTGAAAGATCATTAGATGAAAAATCATTCAGAAGTCAATTTCAAATAAAAGTTTGATGTAGGACTTCAGCAAGAGGCCACAATAGCAATCTTAACAGCAAAATGTGGGGCATTTCTTTATCTATTGGATAGGGGGAAATCATTTTAATAAGACTAAAAAAAAATCAACGTTTTACCATCATGCATTTTAGTACATTTTGTTTTATAGCTTATTAAAGTATCAGTATGTTCATAGAAGAGAAAAATAAAACAGTGGACAAACAATGCTCTAAAATAATTGTAGTTCAGATGATTTTGATATATTTAATATAGACTCTGAAGTCTTAAAAGTTGAAAAAAGGAAAATGAACCAAACACAATGATAGATGAGAACTGGAGAAAATCCATAGGAGAAACATCCAAGTACAAGTTAGTGAGGAAGTGCAAATTAAATAAATAAATACATACTTGGAAAATTTTATAAGAATTGCAACTATATCTGCAAAATTAACACAAAAATGCCACTGGAAGAACTCAACTGCAGGAATACTTTTATACTTTGCTGTTAACAAAGTTGGACATTTTAGGAAAGCAGTATATTGACATCTATTAAAATTATTTTATATATACTGTGTATCACATGATTAAATAATACTATATATAATCGGGTATAAGCCGAGTTTTTCCAGCACATTTTTAATGCAATTTTTGTGGTAAAATTCGGTGCCTTGGTGGATATTCAGGTCGGCCTATATTCAGCTATATCCACTATTTATTATACTTAATTTCAGAGGTGAAAAAATCCACATGTATGTAAGACCGCACGAGCAAACATCATTATTGTCAAAAGCCACAAACAAATTGATTGCTCTTTAACATGGAAATGTGTAAATACATTTTGATACATCTATACCATTATTATGCAGCCATTAGAAGAAAATACAAATAGATCATTTTTAGGATATTTCTAAGGAACTGTTGAATAGGAATACCGAGATGTAGAATTAAATGTAGGAGCTTAAAGAGAATAAAGCTTGGGGAGAGGAAAGCCTTTTAAAATTTATATGTGTGTCTATGTATGTGTGCATGTCAGGGCAAGAGGTTATTGTTAGGTGCCACTGAGTCAGTTGTAGCCCACAGTGACCCTGTGTACACCAGAACAAAACAGTACATGGTCTTGCGCCATTCTTGTAACTGTTCCTATACTTCAGCCTTTTGTTTGCAGGCACAGCCTTAATCCATCCCCCTCACCACCTTCCTTTTTTCCATTGCTCCCCACCTTTACCAAGCATGCTGTTCTTCTCCCGGGTCTGATTTCTCCTGACATCATATCCAAAGGACATGAGGCAAAATCCCACCATTCTTGCCTCTAAGGAGCCTGGGTATAATTCTTTCAAGACAGGCTTTTGTCCGCTTGGCAGGCCATGGTACTTCCAATATATCTTTGCCAGCATCGTAATTCAAAAAAGTTCTTTCATGTTCAGTCTTCCTTATTCAATGTGCAACTTTCACATGTGGATGAGGCAATGGGAAGTATCATGGCTTGGGTCAGGCACACCATAGTCCTCAAAGTAACCTCCTGGCTTTTCAACACTCTGAAGAGGTGATGTACAGCAGATTTACCCAGTGAAACACATCTTTTGATCTCTTGATTGCTGCTTCCGTTAGCATTGATTGTGGAGCCAAGTAAGGTGAAATCCTTGATAATTTCAATCATTTCCTCCATTTATCTTGTTAACTATTGGTCCAGTTGGGAGGGTTTTGATCTTCTTTACATTGAGTTTTTGATGTTCTTTTCCATTCTGAAGGCTGCTGTCCATGATTTTCGTCATCAAGTGCCTCAAATTCCCTTAAAGCAAGCCATTTTGTGTTATCTACATATCCCAGGTCAAGAGAAGTATAGATTAAAATATGGAAAAATAAATTCTTAACAGTTAATATTGGCATCTTAAAAAATAAAAGGCAAAACATAAAGCAGCAACAATAAAAAGAAAAATTATGGATTAGTACTTTTATGTAATTTTGAGAAATTGCTTTCCAACCATGAGAGTACAAGGGGAAAAAAATAAATATAAGGTAAATAATGCATATGTTTGACTACATAAAAAGTATAGCCCACGTATCAAATATCTTGAAAATGGATAGAAAATGCAAATGTGAAATTGTGAACTGTGTGACAAAATAAGTTGATAATTTATTATTTCAATTTCTTAAAAATTCTTATGTAAAATCAGCTCATAGAAAAATGCATAAGGCAAATGAAAGAAGTTCCCAAAGATTAATAATTCAGCAAGTGCTTAAAAATTGCTCAAATGAAGACAGCTATTTTTAACTGGCAGACTTGAACATTATGATATTTCATCCTGGGTACCATGTAGAGAAATGAAACGTTGAATGTGTAAATTGGTAGGAATGGTTGGTTAGTTATTTCTGATAATGTTATTTCTTATATTTGGGTATTCATTACATTTGTGTACATAGTTTACAGCTTTGTTTTTTAAAATATAAATAGTATTTTCTCTCCTTTTTCAGTTTGGCAATTCTATTATCAACACACCTCTAAAACGTCGTAAAATTGTTTCTCAAGAAACCATAGTCGATCCTTTGTCCTTAAACTGCCAGAGTTCCTGTGCTAATATCATTTTACACTGTCGAAGTATACGAGTAGGAACACTTTTCCAGCTGTTAGTACATCCTGTAATTGTAAGTAAACTCTTTAATACACAATTGTATGTATACTCTTTAAAGCACGTGAGATTTAGAGTTTCTTTGCTAAGATTAAAATGCACTATTTCAAATTTATAAGTTAAAATATTTACTAGAATATTAAGATTGTTTTAAGATTTCAAATTATATTGAGTTAAAAAGACAAGTATGAAAAAGAGCTTCTTGCCATTAAAAACTTTTAAATCTGGATAAATATTTCTCATAATCATCATAAGATAATACTCTCACTGAGTTAAGGGAAACCCTCCATTGATTACAGTTTTCTGCTTGTGCCTGCTTATTGCATGGAAAGAATATTTTTAAGAATGATTATGAGAGCTAAAAAGAATAAAAAACTATATGATTGGCAGAAAAGTACATTGCAGCAGTGAGACTCCTAACCAAAAAAACAAACCCATTGCCATAGTCTATTTCAACTCATGACAATGTATGGGATTAAAATGACATTTTGCTTTTGGATTAGTTCAGAGTCTAAAATGTCAAAACTTGTATAACTTATTTTAGTCCCATTTTCTTAATCTCTCATGCCACTAATGTAATTCAAGTGTTGTATTTTCTATTTTCAATTTACATATTATTTTCTTCATCTTACTGTTTCTAGTGTCTATTATACATGGCTGGTAGATGAATCTTCCTAAAGTGTTGCATCAGTCCTCTAAGCCTTTAGTTTATAATGCAGGTGTCCCTATCTCTAACATTTTCAAATGATACCCAGTATTATCCTTTATGGGTAAGAAACATTGAAGCAGCAAAATTTAAAGGCAGCTTTATTGTTATTTAAAATATGGTAAAAAATAGGATTTTTTTCTGATAGAACTTCAGGTTCTAAGATACAGAATCAAAAGGGAAAGAAATGACATGTGAAATACCTTTTTTAACTGGGAAAGTTCTATGGGAGGTCAACATTTGCTTTTGTTTTTCATACAGTCCAGATTTTTATGATTTAAAAGCAATGTATCAGAAATCTTGTTAAATCTGGAGATTTAAAGTACATATTTTTAATAATCATTTTATTGGGGAGCTTGTACAACTCTTATACATACATAACATACATAACATCCATTGTGTCAAGCACATTTGTACATTTGTTGCCATCATCGTTTTCAAACAATTTCTTTCTACATGAGCCCTTGTTATCAGATCCTCATTTTTTCCTTTCCTCCCCCACCCTCCCTCCCTCATGAACCCTTGCTAATTTATAAATATTATTTTTTCATGTCTTACACTGACCGTATCTCCCTTCACCCACTTTTTTGTTGTCCATCCCCCTCTGAGGGATCTATATATAAATGTAGATCATTGTGATCCGGTCTGGAAAGTGCAATTTGAATAGGGTGTTAAATTTGATAAGCAACATAGTAATAAACTTGTCAAATTTGGTGGGGATTTGCAAAACATGTTTTGCCACGAGTCCTCATTTACATATCATCCTTTATGATTTCTGTGAGTTAACAAAATACTACTTGTACATCAAAATACTACTTGTACCTCACCTTGTACATCAAAATATTTAATGAATATCATGTTTCATGCCTGCTCCTTAATTTTCAGAACTCTTTAATATGATAATTACATTTTCCCTGATTATTAAAATTTGCATATACCATCTGAAAGCTGTCAAAAGCCACATTAAACGTGAAATGATTTCCCCCCCTAAATTATTAGTAAGATTATACTATCTTCAGTGAAGAAAAATCAATTTTATATATTCATTAGGAAGAAAAATTTTAAAGGCAATGTTTGTATTACAGTATGTATTGATACAGATTATTCAGTCTTGTTTTTTAAAAATATTAAGGGAATTGTTTTAGCCTTAAAAAAAAAACTATACTTTTCATGTAGAAGTTTGCCATCTATATTGTTTCCCATCCAAGTATTAACCAGGCCCGATCCTACTTACCTTCCAAGATCAGGTGCATTCAGGGGGGTATGACCATAGACAGCGATCTATATTGTTAATTTCCTTTGTATTATAGAATTTTTGCAGATAATATTCTTTTTAAAAAATCGTTTATTTGGGGCGCATACAACTCTTAGCACAATCCATACATAGGTCAATTGTATAAAGCACATTTGTACATTTGTTACCCTCATCATTCTCAAAACATTCGATCTCCATGTAAGCCCCTGGCATCAGCTCCTCGCAGATCATCTTTATTGAAGTTTAAAGGACCTGTAGTTTCTTTAGGTGGTGCAATTAAAAAGATAATTTGTTGCTTCTTGAAATTTTCTGCCATATCATGATTAAATGAAAAACAAATTTAAAATGTTTTACTACATTTTATGATTTTTTTATTAGATAAGTTAGTCAAACTTCTCGTAGTAGGATTTTTATATTACAATTGCAATGGCTCACATTATTAGAAATAAGTCAGTCTTGGAGATGTAGGTAAAACAGCCCAATGTTTACTAGTAATATCAACATGTTAGTTTAATTATGCACAGTTTTAGGTAACATTTTAGATATGCTTCTTTTTATTCAAATATTAGTTTTATTCAGATGATTTTTCAGATTAGTGCTTAGGAAATAAATGTGTCACTTTTTGAGTCATGCAACAATTTTCTGTTACTTCTAACTTTAGCTTTATATGTGGTGAACTATATATTTCTAGCTATAAGTACTCTTTCTTGACCTCTACCAGTGAAACCCACTAATGTATTACTTTTAAATACAATTTTTAAAAGTATTTTTAGTCACATCCTAAGCTTTATGATTGTTTTAATAATTCCTACATTTATGCAAGATAATGATTTTTTCTGAGAATCTTTGGAAGTCTCTTCATTTCCTTTTATTTGTATCTTGAAGATGCTTTAACAGAAGTATTGGAGTACCATTACTGTGAATACTCAATTATCAGCTAGCTCTATCGTTAGCTTTTTAGTGTGCATCCTTTCCACAGTGATTGACATGGCTGGTTCCATGTGACCTAGTTGTTCATCAAATAACAAAATGGAGAATGGCTGCGCCTTTATATAGCTGCCACATCATAATGTAACTACAAGTCACCAAGAATCATGGTCCAGCCAAGTTGATTCGTAACCTTCACCATGGCAGCCATTGTTATGTTTGCCCTGTGTGTCATTAATGCACAAAGTAGTTCAACAGTAAGAGTTTTACTGTTTTTATAATTGTTAATTCGGCTACCAAGAAATTTGATAGTGAAGAGTAAGCAAACTTCCTTTATCTGCCATGGGCCAGAATTAACTTAGTGGCAAAGAATACTCATCCCACTGAATAGTAATCCATTTTATTTTTTAATGCAATTGGAAGTATTTGTCATGTGTGTGTAAATCCCCCCAAATGATTATTTATTCAAATTGTATCAGAATTAATGTGTTTTCTTGACATTAAAATAATGAATTATAAAATTATCCTTTTGTATCTGAAAATATTAACTGATTCAAGAAAGGTTTTTCAATAGATGGTTGAATTGTGTTAAAGTTTATTAGGATTAGTATTTTCATAAGATTTCAAGCAATGGAAAACGTATATCACCTCTGTTCTGCTTTGGCTTGGAAATGTGTGACCTGAACTAATTATGAGGGAACAGTTCAGAGTGCTGTACATTTTACAGAACCTCGCTTGGAAAGACTGTGTCATAAAGAAGAGTGAGAAGTCTATTTCTGCTCAAGCCTGGAATATACTAAAGAGATAAATATAAATGTAACTTTGACAGGACCATGATTTGGTATAAAAATAAAGTCACTATAGATGACAGTTTCCACACTGTTGAAGAATTTTATATGAATTATATATGACATTACTCTTGATATTCTTAAATCTGGTAATTATGATTTATTTTCATGGGTGTAAGGTGATGTAATTGTTACACATTGGGCTGCGAACTACTTGGTCGGCAGTTGAGAAACTCCAGCAGCTCCCTGGGAGAAAGACTAGGTTATTTCCTTCCGTAAACAGTGACAGTCTCAGAAGCCAATAGAGAGGATTTCTGTGAGTCAGTGTGGACTTTGGTTTTTCAGAGGTGTATGTCCTTATATTGGGAAATGTAGGCTGAAAGAATTAGGGGATGAAATGTTATATCTGTTGGCTGGTTTTTAACAGTTTATCAAAAGGTTGGGTGTGTGTGTAGAAAGAGCGCAATGGAATGTGGTATCATAACAGCTGGTGAATCTAGACAAGGAGTGCTTGTTGTAATGTTCTGAATTTTTTAAACTAAAAAATTAGCAATATTGAACCAATAATATACGAGATGCTATCAATACCCCCACCCCCAACAAAAAAAATCACATCCTGCTTTTCTGAAAAGTGGTATAAAATGAATGAGAAAAGATCTCATCTTTTATTTAACCACACTGGACACACACAGTTCTTTGTCTGCCCCATGTAGACTAAGGTCTAGATAAACCTCATTTAGGATATTTATACTAAAATCTTCCTAATTCTGATCAGTAATAATATATCTTATGTTTCAGTTTTCTTTAGATTATATCAAGATACAGCTAGAAGGTAAGCTATTTTATGATTTTTTATTCATTAAAGTGTTATATGCACTAAAGAACTTTGTATGAATGAAAGGTTAATGATATTCATAGAACTCATTAAGATGATTAGTCACTAATATTTTCTTAGCAAAGATCATATATCTTAATATAGTTTAAAAGACCGAGTTTTAGTATCACAAAACCTAACATTGCCTAATTTTTAATACATATATTTCATTTAGCTCCCATTTGGGGTGAGGATGGTGCTAAGCTTCTTTGAAATATTTGTAAATATTTTTTTCCTATTCTCCATCAGAGTATTATTTATAAAGCATAATGTCTTTTAATATTCTCACAATTTATTATTTTTCCCTTTTTTGAATGATTTGTTTTCCATTTGCATTTGTTTTCCCTCAGAACTGGAAGGTGATCCTGTAGCAATTACTTTAGATACCTCTGATTTAACTAAATGTGAATGGTGTAATGTCCGAAAATTACCAGTAGTGTTTCTAAAAACAATACCAGCAATTTATCAAAAGTTGAGTATGCAGCTGCAAATGAATAAGGAAGATAAAGTTTGGAATGAGTGTAAAGGAATAAATAAGATAACAAGTAAGTTATTTGGAATTAGATACGGTTTACTTTAATAATTTAACAAGTAAGTTGGGTAAATACATGCACTTTATTGAACATTAGCTGTGAGTACACATCTATTTCATGTTATATCCTCCATTTTATAAATGAAAAAGGCCCCCCCCGCACCCCCCCGCCCTGAAAAAGGCACACAGAATATGGAAATAAAGTAAAATCCAGTTTACCCATTAAAAAGTTAGCAAAACTGGAGTTCTAGTTTTTGCTTTATTTTAAAATGTGCACTCTTTATTATACCACTGTATAATCCAATTAAAATAGTTTTTTTAATATACTGTTAAATATGCTAGATGTAATCAGCCAGATAATTCTGGATTCTTTGAAATTTGGCCCAAACAGGAAATTTTCAGTGGAGCCCTGGTATAATGGTTAAGCATTGCACTGTGATCCTTGGCTTTCTACTTCTATAAATAGTTACAGTCTAGGGAAACCCACCTGGGGTCACTATGAGTCAGCATCGACCCCGTAGCAGTGAGACAGAACGTTCTCAAGTTCTTTTTTTTTTTTTTAATCATTTTATTAGGGGCTCATACAACTCTTATCACAATCCATACA